ATTGCTCCACTTCTGATCCAGCTCTTTGCTATGGCCTGGGAAAGCAGTAGAGGATAGCCTAAATCCTTGGGCCTCTGCACCTGCGTGGGAGACCTGGAAGAAGCTCCTGGCTCCTGGCTTTGGATCAGCACAGCTCTGGCAGTTGCGGACATCTGGGGAGTGAACCAGTGGGTAGAAAACCTCTCTATCTCACTCTACCTCTCTGTAACTCTGCTTTTCAAATAAATAAATAAATCTTAAAAAAAAATGAAAGGACATTAAATGGTTACTTTCTGAAGTGTTACTTTAATTCTGCTCTGCAGTCTTCACACAATCTTGAAATGACCGCCATCTTTGTTAAATGAATAATGAAGAAGTCCTTACTCATTTGCTGTGTGGCCTACCCGTGCCAGGCACTCCTGGAGCTGGGCTGGGCACAGCGGTTGCTCTCAGTGACTTTGCATTTTAGTAGAGGAAGATAGAAAATAATCAAGGAAAAATAAATGGAAAAGTATCAGGTAGTAACTGATGCCGTGCAGAACTAAAATGAGGCAACTGGGGAGGATCTGGGCGGGGTTCTGGCCTCCAAGGCGACCATTAGTTGCAGTCTGATGATAAGAGGGCAGTTGCCACATGATGAGTGTGGAAGGCAGGGACATTGAGATGACAGAAGCCCCATCAAAGGGGTCATGGAGTAGGATTTAGTGCGGTTAAGACACAGAGGGAGAGAGGGAAGTGGGTTAAGATGAAGTCAGTGAAGAACAGGAGGAGTGACTGCATTTTTAACGTAAAGAGAAGCAAATAATCCTATATGCAAAGCATTGTGTTAAGCACCTAAACACACAAGACATATCATTGCCCATCAGAAAACAGGATCCTGAAGATCTATACTGACAACTTTGAGAAGATTAGGTTGAACAATCTTAGCCATGCCCGTGGGCCTGCTTACAAAAATACAAAACACTTTCGACTTCATGTCTTCCTTCCCACATCCTTCCCTTCCCATATTCCCATATTTATAGCTGTGGGGTCTCAGGGAGCCTGATGTGCTCTCGTGCCCACCCAGTAGGCAGACAAGGAGTAGCCCAGCGACGAAAACGCCACTGCACTGCTGGAAATGCTGACACTGGGGGAGAGCGTGGCTGATCCTGCTTATTCCTGAACTGCAGACTCGCAGACCGGCTGGAGTCACGGCAGCAGGCACCGTCTCCGCAGAGTGATGAGAGATCGGAGACAGCAATTGTGGTGGAGAGGTCTCTTGGCTGGACCGCTTGGCTCCAGCCTCTGTCCTGTAACCTCACCGGTCTCACCTGCGACGTGAGGGCAACACGAATGCCACTCAGCTAAGGGAATGCACCATGATGAATTCTACATCTTATCTGGTCTGACTTCCTGGCTTGTTTTTATTTAAAGTTGTTGATTATCATACACCATGGGTGTGTTCAAGTTTTTTTAATCCAATAGCAGAATTCCTTCTTCTTTTTTTAAAATTTATTCATGTATTTGAAAGAATTACAGAGAGAGAGGGAGAAACAGGGAGAACTCTTCCATCTGCTGTTTCACTCCCCAGATGGCCACAACAGTGCCCAGGCTGAAGCAAGAAGCCAGGAGCTTCCTCCGGATCCCCCACATGGGTGCAGGGGCCCAAGGACTTGGGTCATCTTCTGCTGCTTTTTCCAGGCCATTAGCAAGGAGCTAGATCAGAAGTGAAGTAGCTGGAACCCGAACTGGTGCCCTTATGGTATGCCGGCATCTCAGGCAGCAGCTTTACCTGTTACGTCACAACACCAGCCTGCGTAGAATTTTTCAGTTCCCTCTATTCTGTGAACTCGATACCATACATCATAGCTTTTGTCTGATGAGATTTTGCTCAAAGTGTTTCCTTTCCATAGCTAGTGTTCTGACTTTGAGAGAAAACCAGTTTGGTTTACATTTTAGGCTTTTGGAAGCTGTGGACAGCTGTAGACAGTGAAGGCTTTGTTAGCATAAAAGGAGAATGGTGGCTGAGGACTTTGGTGTCCATAAAGTTAAACGAGGAGAAGATAAAGAATACAAAAAGCATGAAAGAGCAAAACCATCAAATCTTTTCAGACTGGGATGATTTCATTCTCTTACCATAACACAAAACGCAAAATGCTTTCAACTTAAAAACGGCATCCAGCTGGCAGCCATGAGCTGTTCTAAACCAGGAATTCCTGTGGCCAGAGGGACAGGCTCTGACGTCAGCCAGCAGCAATGCAGGGATTTTAATATTCCAGTGTCACCATAGCTTCTTCTTCCAAGTGCTGCGTGAGAATATTGTGGGAAAACAGTTTCTGTAGACTTGTTCTCAATCTAACTGAAAATTTACAGTAGTTCTTAGTCTGGGTAAATTTTATTTTATTTTAAAATTTATTTGAGAGGGAGAGAGGGGGGATAGACAGATTATTTGATAGAGACAGGGAGACAGAGAAAAAGGGAAAGAGACAGAGAGGGACAGAGACAGAGACAGAGACAGCTCCCACTTGCTTGCTCATTTCCCAAATCCCCGCAATAGCTGACAACTCAGTCCAGGTTTCCCATATGGGTAGCAGGGACCCAACTACGTGAAGCATCTCAGCTGCCTCTCAGGGTCTACACTGGCAGGAAGCTGGAGTCAGGAGCCATAGCCAGGTATGGAATCCAGGTACTTTGAGGTGAGTACCAGTGTCTTAACAACTAGGTCAAACACGTGCCCCCAGGGTGAATTTTAGATATAATTTGAAGGCATTTAAATTGGAAATCTGAAATGAAAAGCTATTTTTGAAGTTTGTGATACCTTGAAAAAGAAACACAACAGCCTCTTTTTTGTGTGATTTCATTACTTTTCTCTTCTACCTTCTTCAGGTGAAATAACATGAAGTGAAAATCTTGTTACAACAAAATATTTGCAAGTGTCACCTGATGATTTAAAGACTGTTGGGTAGGACGAATTGGCATGCAAGTCAGAACTCCAGCTCAACAACAAAGACGTTTAAGGCACTCTATCACAGGGACTGGTCCTGTCCAGTGGTGCTTTAGGCTTAAGATCCCAGTAAATCAGAAAGCTGCGGCTAGATGTGTATAGACGGCTCCTGGATCCCATCCACAGGCTCAGGGCAGGAATCTGCCTGGATAACGTGGGCTGGGTGCCTTCAGGGTAGGGGACCCAGCATGCGAATCTTCGTTGGGGAGACCCATCCGTCTCAAACTGCTCCTAAGGCAAGGTGGCAGGGACGCATCGTCCTCAACATGCTCAGACGTAGCCGGAGAGGAAAGAGATGCTGTTGTGTGGTCCTCGGCCATAACTGGTGGGCAGCACCGTCATTTCCGCTGCCCGTGACCCTGTTCCTAAAAATATCGCCCGAGCTATTCAGCGGGTCACATCTGGTAGATTCCTTCACTCCTATTTGGGAAAGGCACATTCCCTTCCACAGCTGCAGAAACTCAAGCGTTTGCAAAGAGCTGCCTAACAGCGCTCTTCCCCTCAGGCTGTGAAAAATACCCAGCGTCTGAGGGCTGCCAGGAAAGCCACACCCCGAGAGGCACTCTCTGGCCAGCAGGAAGACCGGGAACGCTATATATGGAAGACAGGAAGCAGAGCTGTTGAGGCAGCCTTACTCATACCTGCCCCGTATGGACAGCCTCTGCCCTCTGCCAGGATGCAAAGCAGGCCAGAGTGTTGTGCCCTTTGCCACCTCACTTTCAAATAACCAGGAGAATGGACCACACTAACCACAGCCTCAGGAAAGGCCAGCCACGGGAGCTAACCCGCTGCACACACCCTTGGGCAGGGGCTGTGTGTAGCAGGCTCCACTTTTCCGGGTTCTTCTGACAATGGTACCAGAACACTGAGGAGTGTTCATGAGGTCCCCAAGCCAAAATGTTGCAAAACAAAAAACTTCCAGTTTCTCTGCATTATATGACTGTGTGCACATTATTTATATATTTGCAGACAGAAAAAGGAGGAACTGGAAGGGCTGTCTCACCCCTTCTTGTTTTCACCAAAATGTCAGGGATTCCCAGGGCTGCTTTTGTATCAACGCGTAGAGGTTCACATTTGAAAGGAAGGGTGTTTGAGTTTCCTGGAAAAGGAATGGACTATCGTGACCCAGAGCCCCAAATCCTCTATCCCCATCCTCTCATCCCCCCCCCTTTTTTTTTGACAGGCAGAGTGGACAGTGAGAGAGAGAGAGACAGAGAGAAAGGTCTTCCTTTTGCCGTTGGTTCACCCCCCAATGGCCGCTGCGGCCGGCGCACCACGCTGATCCGAAGGCAGGAGCCAGGTGCTTCTCCTGGTCTCCCATGGGGTGCAGGGCCCAAGCACCTGGGCCATCCTCCACTGTACTCCCTGGCCACAGCAGAGAGCTGGCCTGGAAGAGGGGCAACCGGGACAGAATCCGGTGTCCCGACCGGGACTAGAACCCAGTGTGCTGGCGCCGCAAGGCGGAGGATTAGCCTAGTGAGCCGCGGCGCCGGCCTCTTCTCATCCTTAATAGCTGGATTACAGTGTAAGTATCTGGAGGTGACACAAGGAAAACACACCTAGGTCACTCTGCACAAAGTTCAAGGAAAGGTATCTGGTATCTGAAGCCTCACCTGGCCGCTGTCAGCTTTCTCCGGAGGCCACAGCAGACATTGACAATGGGATTTAAAACCTCAGTCCCATGGATCAGCCAGGCTGCACCTGGATCACACAGGGCTGGGTGAGTCTGCACTCCCCTTCCGCTGTTTCCTTTACCATCACCAGTGTCACACTTTACCTGTTAACCTGGTACATGGGAAGGTGTCCCTTGGAATCGCCTTAGAATTTCTAACATCACTTTTTTTTTGATTTGTGATCTTATTGTGTGATTTGTGATCTGCCTACATGCCCTAAGTGCCTAGGTTCTAGTCTCAGCTCTGTTTCTGATTCCAGCTTTCTACTAATGAGCATTATTTTTTGGGGGGGCAGCAGGTGACAACTCATGTAGCTGGGTCCCTGCCACCCACATGAGAGGCCCAGATAGAGTTCCTGACTCCTGGCTTCTGCCTGCTATAGCCCTGGCTGCTGCAGCATTTGAGGATGGAAGATCATTATCTGTTTCTGTCTCAATGTCTTTCAGTAAATGAAACACAGATAAAAAAATGTAAAAAATGATCTGGTATGGATGGTGTCAGTCTGTGGCCAACCCCAGGAAAATCTGGTCTTGTGTCGTCTGTCTGAACGTCTCACCCTTTCACTCTCACAGATGCAGGCATCCATTCTGAGTCGCAGGTGTTCTTTTTTTTTTTTTTAAACAATTTATTTATTTGAATAGCAGAGTTACAGAGAGGCAGAAGGGGGGGGGGAGAGAAAGACACACACACACACATACACACACACACACACATATACATATATCTTCCATCTGCTGGTTCACTCCCCACATGGCTGCAACAGCTGGAGCTGGGCAGATCCGAAGCCAGGAGCTTCCTCCAGGTCTCCCATGCGGGTGCAGGAGCCTAAGGACTTGGGCCATCTTCTACTGCTTCCCCAGGCCATAGCAGAGAGCTGGATTGGAAGTGGAGCAGTGGCCACATGGGATGCCGGCACTGCAGGTGGGGGCTTTACCTGCTACATCACAGTGCTGCCCCGAGTCTCAGGAGTTCTCAACCATCAGAAGGCAGAGGGCTCTCACTCCCAGCAGGTCTCCCACAATCACGTGATAAAAGACAACCTGTGGGACCCAAGTGTTTGAGGCAAGGCAAGTGCATCTGACTAAGGCAGCATGGTGCCTTCCACTGAGGTAAGCCTTCTTCTAATGGCAGAGACCGAGATCACACAGACCCTTGTGGGCGAGCAACTGAGAGCGGCAGGTGACCAAAGGCTCTTCTGGAGAGCAGGTACTAGCAGGGTCGGGAACTGCAGTAAGGGTCAGGAGGAGGGTCTACCACCGGGCAGACGAGAACACTGCCCGGGAGCCGGGGTGGCGAAGCCCGCACGGGTGCTGAGTTCAAGACCTGCGACGTGGCTCGCACGCCTCCTCAGCAGCACGGGCGGCCCTGCCCTCCCCCTGGTGTTTGTGTGAGCCGCTTCTCTACAGAACACTCCGCTTCCCCCTTCTCGCTGCCCTCCCACGCGGCTCCAGCCTGGGCCCACAGGAGCCCAGCACCGTCAGTAACTTATCCAGCGTTATCCAGAATTCCAGCACCCGCTCTGTGTGCCGGCAGAGCTGCACCCCAGGGAAGGAACCCTGCGGCCTGGCGGCGCGAACCGAGCGCAGGTGAATCCCACGGGGGCCCTCGCGCGCGGGGGAGTTCACCGCCCCCTTCAGGGTCACGGGGTCATTAACGCCGGTCCCCAGCGGTCGCCGTGCGCGGGACCACGAAGCTCGTGGGTCAGAGAGCCCCAGGGACCCTGTGCAAGCCCCAACGCCCCGGGCGGGTTCCTCTTACACCGGGATCAGAGCGGCGGCCGAGACACCGGCGCGCGGACCCGCAGGCGCGGGAGACGGGGCTGAGGCCCCGCGGCCCCCGGCCGGCCGCCCCGCGCGCGCCCGGCCCCGCGCGGCCCCGCCCGGCCGAGCCCTTTGTCCGGGCGCCTCCCGAGGCGCGGCCGTCAGGAATGCGCTTCCGGAGCGAGGGGCGCGCGCCCGGCCCGCGGGGCGGGGCCGCGGAGGGGCTTCCGGCCGGGAGGCGGCGCGGGGCCGCCGAGACCCCGCCCGGTGGCCCGGAGGAGGTGGAGGAGGAGGAGGAGCCGCCGCCCGCCGCGCCCGGAGCCGGGAGAGGCCGCGCCGAGCCGCGGGGACGCCGAGCAGCAGGCCCAGCCTAAGGCGCAGGCCCGGACGCCGCCTGGGGAAGGTGAGGCCTGCGGCGCGCGGCTCAGCGCGCCCGGCGGCGCCCGGCCCGTCCTCGCGGCCCTTCCCGGCCGGCGTCCCCTCTGCCTGGGAGGCCGGCGTGGCTGCCGCGCGGGGCCGGCCGTTTCCGGCAGCGCTGGGTCAGCGCCCGCGTCCGGGGAGAGCTAGGCCTCCCAGGGGTCCTCGCTCAGGGCCCGGCCGGCCGCTGTGCTGGTCACCGGGCGCTTGTCCTGCGGCAGCAGCGCCGAGCCGGGCCACAGCGCCCGAGAGCGGGCAGCAGCTGGACTCGGGGTCCAGCGCCTTCGGCCCCGGGCGTCTGGGAGGAGTCCCGGTTCTCTGCCCCTGGGGGCGGGGAGCCGGGAGGAGTTGGGGGGCCAGGACCCGTCGCCCTCGGGAGTCGGGAGAAGTCGGGGGGCCGAGCCCTTTGCTGTCGGACCCCGGGAGCGGGGTGGACCCCTGGGAGCCTGGAGGAGTCGCAGGGGCCAGGGCCCGCCACGCTGTGCCCGCAGGAACCGGGAGGAGTGGCCGGGATCCCCGGGAGCGGGAGGAGCCGCCGCGGCGCCGGGGTGCGGGGCGGAGGCCGCGGGCGTGAGGACCCCGGTCTGGGCACTGGGCGAGGGCCGGGCCGCTCCGCCGCGGGCGTGAGGACCCCGGTCTGGGCACTGGGCGAGGGCCGGGCCGCTCCGCCGCGGGCGTGAGGACCCCCGTCTGGGCGTGAGGACCCCGGTCTGGGCGTGAGGACCCCGGTCTGGGCGTGAGGACCCCCGGTCTGGGCGCTCGGCGAGGGCCGGGCCGCTCCGCCGCGGGCGTGAGGACCCCCGTCTGGGCGCTCGGCGAGGGCCGAGCCGCTCCGCCGCGGGCGTGAGGACCCCCGTCTGGCCGCTCCGCCGCGGGCGTGAGAACCCCGGTCTGGGCTTGAGGACCCCGGTCTGGGCGCTGGGCGAGGGCCGGGCCGCTCCGCCGCGCGCCGGTGCTCGTGCCGCCCGGGAGCGCGCGCGGTTCGCCCGGTGCTGGCTCTTGATCTCGAGTCGCGACCCCCGCTCCGCGCTGCTGGTTCCTCTGAAGTGGAACAAAGGCGCCCGCGCCAATACGATAACGGATTCTGGTTATCTCGCCCGGTTCTGCGACAGGGCGGGGAGCCGTGGGTCCTGTTTTCACCTCCCGTTTTACGGAGGCGAAGACCCCAGGGTCCACGGACCTCCGTCCTGAGCCCGTGGCCGCCGGGACGCTGACGTGAGCACTTGCCGGCTGCTCAGCCCTCCTGGGCGGTCAAGTCTGACATCCCAGTGTGGTTGGCTACGTAGATGTCTCTGGGTCAGCAGTCCGCATAGATATTTAGGTGCATAGAATCGTAGGTTGTCGGTTATTTTTTTGTTGTTTGGTGGTTTTTATAATGCTCATATTTTTAAGTAATTTTGCTTCATTACTCAATACTAAATGCATGATTTGGGATGGTAAGTAATAAATAGGAAAGAAATGAAGCATTGATGTTTTGGTATACACATTTGGGATGAAAGCTATTTTACTTCGCCAAAAATTGAGTATAAAAGGGGAAGATGTTATTAAAATGCTAGTTTAAAAGATAGGGAATGTGGTTAATACCTTACTGTGTAGACAGAGCAAATAAACTCCTAGCCTAATTTGGCTTCACAGATCGACAATTTTAAGTGTTTGTGATGTGGACTTTCTTTTGTTTAAGAATGTAAAGTTGTATTTTAAGGTTATTTTTTAATCTCAAAGACTAACTGCTTTGTATATATGCTACCAAAACGAGCAACAAAGTATAACCACGTGGAAAAGTCCTTAGCTTGAGTAATTTTAACACTCGGGCCTTCTAGTAGTGTAGTTTGAGTCCACCACAGGTCACCATCATTGAATGGAAATGCCTACTTGGTGTTGAATTCCTAACTGCAGGAGTTGCACGCACTGGGGACCTTTTATCTTCATGAAAAGCAGTCCGTTTAATGTCCTGCAAGTTTTCACAAGAATCCCTGCCACTTGTGATTGACTTGTTGTTTGGCTTCTTACTGAATAAACTGGCTCCCAGGAAGGGAGAGTTGTGCAGTGCTGGAAGCAAGCGTTTTCCTTCATCTCAGTGTGCCGGTTTGCTCTTCGCTGCTGCAGTGATGGGCTGAGCCACTTCTGAGGGTGGTACACGCTGCAGAGATCTTTGGAGTGCTGAGAACTTAGATTTCTGAAATTGCAACAAGTGCATTTACCTGAGAGGATTAGAGAGGACTGTGGCTAATCTACATGGAGGGTTAGGGATCCAGAGGGGTCTGTGTCGAAAAACAGGTGTTGCCATGCCAGCAGTGTTGTTCTCATTGTGTGTGCTGAGGGTTCTGTTTGTCCTTGGGAGGATGAGTATGGAAGAGTGTGGTAGTCTCCTGCGTCCCAGGGATCCTGAGGTCATAGCTATATTTATGTGGAAAGCTGCAAAACAAAACAAAAAACCCGCCGAAGTCCATGAAACTCAGAACTTTTGCAGTTTTATAAGGGTTCAATGGATAGGTGAAAAAAAGTGTCTCTTTGAGGAGATGTGTGCGAAAGGAGCCCAACTGTGTTTTGTAAATTTTTCATTGTTTTGGAAATGGCTATTTATAAGGCTTTTACCAAGTGAAGTTTTATTTATAAGATAATACCACGTGGGATTTTAGAGGTCAGCTTTAAACTTTATTTTTGGTTTGTGGCTTTACAAGACAAGGTTAACTGTACTAGCAGTATGCTTCAGTATGTGCAGATCACCTCTTCATGAAGTGTGTGTGTGTGTGAGAGAGAGAGAGAGAGAAACTGCTTCAGATACATACATACAAAGTGTGTATATGCACACAATTTTATATTAAAGGACCAGTCTCATTCTACAGAGTCTCAAAAGTGTGGGTTTCCGGCCTTCAAGAATGTGTAAAATTATTCTTTGGGGTGTAGAAAGACTCATTTACGATTATTTATTGGAAGTATCTTTGAATCTAATTACCTTAAACATTTTATTGTAATTTATAGTGTTGTAGTATATTGCTATAAATTATATTTTCACTTATAAATGTGCATATATTTGGGGTACATATTTGCCCTCAATGTTGTTAGTGACAAAAATGAGCAAGCATTGGGGCTGGCACTGTGCCATGGTGGGTAAGGCTGCTGCCCTCAATGCCAGCATCCCATATAGGTGCCTGCTGCTGAGTCCTGTCTGCTCCAGTTCTGATTCAGCTCCCTGCTATGGCCTGGGAAAGCAGTAGAAGATGGCCCAAGTCCTTGGGCCCCTGCACTCACGTGGGAGACCTGGAAGAAGCTTCTGGCTTTGGATTGGCACAACTCTGGCTGTTAGGGCCATCTTGGGGGTGAACCAGTGGATGGAAGACCTCTCTCTCTCTGCCTCTGCCTCTCTGTAACTTTGCTTTTCAAATAAATAAATAATTTTTAAGTGAGCAAGCGGAGGCTTTGAAGATCTCTGGTATAATAGGAATGGTTTGGCTGGGGACACACGTGCTGTATTTAGGAGAGGGACTTGGTGTCTGAGATCGGTGGTTTACCAGAGTAGACAGTCTGCCCAGGAGGGGAGCTGGCTGGCTGAAGAGGGGGATGGGTTCTCTGTGCATGATGGACATGGGTAGAGAAGCCTAGAGTGCAGCTGGTGAGCAGGTTGGGAGATTTTGCTTTGTGAATTCTTAGACTGTAAGTGCTGGTTGGAGCTCTGGGCTGCAGAGGAAGGCACCAGAGGAGAGGGTGTGGAGGAAGAGGGGCCGGAGGGTGCACCTAGGGAATGCTTGCCCCGGCATGGGTGGGAGAGGAGAGATGGAGAAAAGCCTTTTCCTTCCTCCATTCTTCTCCCGGCTTCTGATTCCTTTGAGTGTCGTTTTACTGAGTGAGTGAGGCACTTGTGGGGTTTTCCAGTAACCGCACACTTGAGGTAAAAACAAAAAGACGTGATGACATTCATGTCCCTCTGCCGTGGCATTGCTGGCATTTATGAGAAAGGAACTTGGTGGGGAGAGAGACTGGGTTTCTTGGTGACCTTTGTCAAAACGCGCAGCCTTCGAAGGCTTTGCTTCCCCTGTCTGCACTTCAGATGATCTTTCTGGCTGCTTGAAGGGCAGCTCCGCCGGCTCATGCACTTTAGTCCATTTTTCTCTTTATCCCACGAACAGCCCCATTTTCCCATGTCACCCCCTGGGAGGGCAGGGACTGTGCGTGTTATCCTCAAGGAGTACCTGCCAGAGCTGGCCAGCCACCCTAGACCTTCTTCAGGATGTCACCCAGCCACACCTTGCATTTTAGTCTGGCAGTGTGGTGTGTCCAGGCACCTGACAGGCTGTGCTGAGTGGGTGTGAGTCAGGAAGTTGGCCTGGTGGTTGATGTTGCATGTATTATCTGTCTACTTGGACAAATTGTGTTTACTTTAAAAAAAACAACAAATGCCAAAGAATATTTTACAGTGTACTGTGCCAGCAGTACTCCCTAATAGGTTTTATTAGAAAGTTTATTTATTTTTATTTATTCGAAATGTAGTGTGACAGAGAAAAGAGAGCGATCGATCAAGGTCTTCCATTCATTGTTTCACTCTGCATAAACCTACAAGAGCTGGCCAGAACTGAGCCAGGCCAAGCCGAGGAGCCAGTAATTCCATCTGGGTCTCCTGCTTGGGTGATGACAGGGACCCAAGTACTTGAGCCATCATCTGCTGCCTCCCAAGCTGAGTATTAGCAGGAAGCTTGGTAAACCAGACTTGAACCCAGACACTCTGATAAGGGATGTGGATGTCCCAAGTGATGGCTTAACCAGCGATGTCTCAACAGCTGCCCCCATCCTAATAGCTTTTGAAGAGAAGATCAGCATTGGCCTGAGTGGTTTGGGCTGACCGTGGAGGAGATGGCACATGAGCTTGGAATGGTTATGAGCAGACAAGGGTGACAGATGGGGACATCTGTCTACAGGCCCAGTCTAATGCTGGACATGTTAGTTGATCATTTGGTTACCCATGAAGTTATATGTGTGTTTGTGTGAATA